TTATTTTTCCCGAATAGCTCATCTAGGGTTGTGAGAAACGGCATTTTGTGGACGTCAGCCCAAAGCCGATTTCTCTAACTCTCTCTGAGACTGCCGCCAAGTTCTCCAGGTGTTTCTGTTTTGATTTCCCGTGCACGGTGATGTTGCATAGGTTCACTAGGATTCTTTGTGGGGATACGCCCTTCACTGTTGGTTGCGTCAGTCGTTGGGCGGTGGCGTGCCTGAATTGCGAAACACTTTTGGGATTGTCAGTCCCTTAGTTCAAGTATTCCTGCTCATTCTACGAACGTTTCCAAATCTTCCAGTAATTACGTAGGTAATTTATTTTAACTCTAGGGGAGGACAAACTGTTCAGGGATTCGTCCGCAAAACCTCGTCCAGCTAGGTAACAAGTGTTCCGCGCATAAGTAAAGATGGCCTCATCCGCATGTTGGATCTGGGCGTGGAAGTCCCTCAAGTATTCAGCTATCAGTTTCGGTGTATCCGTTAGCTGTCTCCGAAGTTGGAATATCTCCGGAGGAACCCTATCCCTCAGTTTTCTTGAGTTAACCACCCTGTCGAATACCTCTGCCGTGAGTATGCCGTGGATCATTTTGGAATAACACGTTTGGAAAACCCTTGAGAAAAATTCTTATTTGTTTCCCCAACGATCCCAATTATTGCCTATAGCGAATTTTTCGGGAACGGCAGCCGGGGATGAAAAGCCTGGTGACTGAACTGAATTGGTTTTTATTTTGCGGATCGAACAACGAACAACCCCCAGGCAGAGGAGTGCTCATCCTTGTGTACTACACCACATTCATATTTGACCGTTTACCAAACTCGGTCAACTTGTCGTGTTGACTAAGACCAAGGAAATTCAAATTTTTCAAGAAACAGAACACGGCTGAAGTTAGTTATTACATCAAGTTAGTACACAACTTTATATTAACAACGTTTGTTCGGTGAATTATGAAGAAAATTAGGAACAAAAGACCTATCGCAAAGCAAAATCTTTTTTTATTCGAATTTTCACAACACCTGTAGTCTTCTCAGAACTCGCGTTGTTCAAAGTGCTGTAGATGACACTCCCTCCGGATAAGTTTTATCATGATTCATTGCAGCTACTTCCAATGGGCTCAATTGGTTTGCAACAGCAGGCATACCAGACTGAGTTTCTTTGGAGAATTTCTTGTCAAGAGTCACGTTTTGTAAGCCTTGTGAGCTTCATCTTGGATCGTATTAAAATGAGGGTTTTAGACAAGATGGTTTGCACAGTAATTTGCATTTTTCCCAACACTACACGACCTTCGTTGATAGCCAAATGCCCGCCCCAGATCGACCGAAAGCCGATGTTGCTTACCTTACGTCGCCCATCCATTCGACAGCCTTGTGAAATTTATCAGAAAATGTTCCCACTGAATGAATTCAATTTTCTTCAGATGGTGTTTTTCCTTGTCAATATCCAGATAGAAAGAGTTGTTTGAATAAAAATCACTTGCTTCTACCCACTGTCTCTTGTAGTGACACAATGTTCCACATGGCTATGACGAGTAAACATAGTGTCATTTACGGACAGATTTCGAGAAATATCTGTCACTGAAAAACGTATCATATGGGCCGATAGACATTCCCGTCTCCCTGGATTGCCAAGTCATCTCCATTGATTGTTTTGGAGTGAAACATGCTTCATCATCGTGAATATGGTATGAAATTCATGCACTTTCAACAAACCAAATGTTTTCTTCCTTCAGCCCACAACTAACAGCGACTTCGCTTCAGAAATGTCACATAAAATAGTATTTCTCAGATATATTTGTGAGTTATAAGGCTACAGAGCTGATTACAGAGGGACTAGCTTTTATACATTAGTGCTGGAAACGACTTGTGGTCAGTTTTACCATCGTAATTGTAATAACTATTGGTATCTAACATTTTACTAGCTTTGAGCTTCGAAGCCACCGGTTTATTTATCATTGTAGCTTGCTTTGTGTTCAGAAATCAGTAGTAGAACAGGACACGGAACGCGGATAAACCGTTTATTACCGCACACCCAAGCGAGCACGGAAAATCGAACAGGCACAAGCAGTAAATGCAACGGACTCGGTCTTCCGGTGCTCCGCCAAATGTGATTACGTGAATGGTTCACGCAAGTGCCAGGCTCGTACGTGTGACTAATCGTGGCAACGAATAGGCATCAACCAATAGACAGTCAGTAACGGTGCGTGAGTGCAAGAATGTCTGATTGCGTACGTGGCTACTTCAACCAAACACACCACCCAGGGCCACACAGTCTCCACTGCCCACAGATCACCATAAATATGACGAATAAAAAAGAACAATTCATGTAAAGTTTTATATTCCGACCACTTAGTACAAGAAGTTGTAGATCATTTGGGAAAGAGAAGCTGAATACGAAGAAGATGTTTTGTTGACCGATTTTCGACAACACAAGTACAGACACATACAAACACAGCATTAAGAAATAAGGGTTTGAATGAGATTTTTCGCTTCATTTAGAGTATTGCAATCCTTCAGAAACCAAATTTCGACAGTCACTTAGGTAACTGCTTCACATATCGAAATGCTTCAAGCCGGAAAGCGCGTGATCAAGCAATCGATTCAAAACCCTATGGTTACTTTGGAAAAATCATTCGTTTTCAAGGATTTACTTTTACACCCAATGGAAGTTCTGAAAGCTTTAAGAACTGACAAAATCAATGCTGTCCTGGTGGATGGTCATAAGTGCTGGCGTATTATTAAGGCTTACGTAGTGAATGCTAGTGTACCAACCACTGAAATAGGAATAATTTTACCGGATCCGTAGGAGTTGAGAGTCGTGTAACAACTGGCGGGAATGAAGGTGATACCTACTCATTTATGCAAGTAGGATATTATTGTATCTGGGTGACGGGACAAATTCTTCCGGAAGCACACGACCGGCTTCGTGTTTACTGCTGCTCATAAGTGTTGCATACGCGGTAATCTCCTTTCGATTCATTCTCATAATTGAGCACTCTACATTAGATTGATCCTTTTAATCTCATCTGAATTGTGAGGAGCGTGCATCACAGTGCTGCATAATTTAAACACATGAAGTCGTTTGAACCAAAAAGTTGATTCAGACTCACATTAGAAGAGTTTTTCCGCATTCAAAGCTATTCCTGTATATTTTTCATAGTATTAGAGAAACAAATCAAACTTTTCTTTCAAACTGAAGAATAATTCAGCTCACTTTAGTTGTGAAACATTGTTACCAATGATAGTTGACTGTCTGAGCCTGTGCCTATGACCTGATAATCTGCACTGTCTGGCTGATCAGTGAGTGCTCCACTTGTTTTAATCAAAGCTCCCTTACTATTATTTTACTAAAATGGTTGATAAATGTCCGAATCCTCCCCCTTGAGACTCGAGAAGCCCTATGTATGCGTTATGATGGGGTCACTTTGACCAGTCTGACCAGAAAAAGTAGAATTTGTCCCTGCATACTGGAGGTCACTAGCCGTTTCAATTTTCCAGGTACTGGAAGAGCTGGGGTGGGATGGATTTGAAGAAATCCGTTTAGTCTGAGCTATCAGCTCTGTGTTTGACCGGAAGAAAACATTTTGTGAAAAATATTTTCGTATACTAGCGGAAAACCCTGGATGATCCAACGTCAGACGAACGGATACAAGCGAACCATTTTGACAGTGCCGAATTAAGATAAGCAACAGCAACAACCGATTTGTATCGGACGAATTATTCTCTTGTTCTTATTGAATGGAACTGCAAATCCGACAGTAATTCAGGGGTTGACGGATTTAGAAGAGGGAATTTCATTCCTGGGTTATTTCAGTTGAAACTTGTCACATTTTCGTGGCACGTATCAGCGTTTAATCAGCGTTTACTTTGCAAGTGGAAATGTAAGAAGCTCGGTACAGCTGAATTATCAAACTCTTTGGGACTCACCAGGAGGGAAACCGATCGAAAATCAAGCCCTGGATGTGATTCGTATTTCCCTTGTTCCACTTAGACCCCCGAAAGAGACGGTGCAGAAGTACCTCATAAGAGCTGACCGCCATACTAGTGACAACCTGTTATTATTCAGGTCCGTTACCAAGTTGGCTCTATCATTATTGCCATTAGCCGATTATTTCCACTAAGCACATTTGGAGACCCCAGATTGGTGAACAAACTCGTTTACAGTGATTCAAACTCATACCATAATATCACAATTTATCACCACAGGCTAGGGAATTTAACCAATAAGGAATGATGGAGTCGAATCGCGACAAAAACCGAAATAAAATAACTATGATCCCGGCCTAAATCATGACCGGAGGTACATTGTCAGCTTCCGGACATAAGCTGGGTGGTGCAGTGGTAACACACACGTCTGCGAGATGGAAGGGCGCGAGTTCGAACCCTGGATGTGACAGAGGATATGCACCACTGATGAGCTCTAACAAGAGCATAATTTGAGTCTGGTGTTTCCGAGTGCAGGTTGGTCAGATGACCTGAGGTTTGCGCGTGAAACCTGGAATTCATAGGGCAGTCAACCAAGCGATTTTCATCTGGTCTATGGCCTGTTGTAGGGTGGAGGATGAGTCATGGCAGCTTAAGAGCACACATTGTTTTTGAGCACATCATAAAGGATTGTATAGGTGGTGGTGATTGTCCACTCCAGACCATATAAAGGGGCACGAAAAGCCTCGGGAAAGTTTACTATCGAATTGGACTGAGCTATGTGCGAAACGACCGCGCCAGTGAGCGATTTATTTGTTCGAGTGTGAAAGGGAAACACATGGCTTCATTTGATTTCCAATCACTGTTTACGAATGTTCCCGGTCGGGAGGTCATACGTATCATCTGTGACCATGTGGAGCAAAACCAACTGAAAATCGGTATACCAGTATCAGTTCTGGTTAGACAATTACTACTGTGCACAACAAACGTATCGTTCTCCTTCCTTGGTCGGGCTTACAGACAAATTGACGGTGTCCCAATGGGAACTCCATTGAGTCCCATTCTGGCACATATTTATGGCTCATCTTGAGGAAAACGCGAGCAAAATCCTCCAACGTTCACAACTTTACAAACGATACGTTGATCATGTTCTAGTCATCACAATAAGTTTAGAAGAGACAACATGGATTATGGATGAACTCGATCGCCTGCATCCGAATATACGATTTACGATGGAAGCAGAACGCGAAGATACACTGCACTTCCTCGACATTAAAATGACTAGGAAGAATGATGGAACAATCGCCAGATCTGTTCACCGAAAAGAAACTTGGACAGACCAATGCTTGCAATTTGACTGTTTTGTGTCTGTGGAATATAAACGTGGTCTGGTCCGAACACTATTTCATACAGCACGACATATCTGCACAGAAGACATGGTTGACAACGAACTACGACAGCTGAAAGAATCTTTGACTAGAAACGCTTATACCGATGCATTTATCGAAAGGCACAGCAAGCCGAAAGTGATCAGACAAACGAATTGTTCAGCAGAAAATCTACTAGTCACCCTTTGTCTTCCATTCAAACGTGATGACATCAATTGCTTGCTCAAACGACCACTTGGATCAGCGCTTGCCCGAACATATTATGCAGCTGACCTCAGAATTGTTCATCGAACGATTGAGATCCCCACACCGTCGGTGAAACAACGTCCACCTCTGTACACCAATTCGAATCTGATTTACCAATTTCAGCAACCTACGTGGGTCGAACAGAGCGGCAGTTACGTAACCGAGTGATTGAAGATATTCCAAATTGGGTACAACGTTTTGTGATGCAATCAGGGTCAGATCAAAGGCATATTGACAACGTTCGAAACCATAAGATCCCGTCGTCGGCCGTCGCTCGTCATCTTCTGATGACGCAACATCCAGCTGACCGAAGCACTGCGTTTCGGGTCATTTACGTGGCAAAGAATACCAGGCTTTTGAGGTTTGTTCAAACCATTGCCATACATTCATGGAAACCTAATATTGTGTCAGCAGAAACAGTTCTTTGTTCATGTGTCTTTACCATGGTGACGTAACTTGACTATTGAAATTTCCCCTATATTTATCGAAAATTATGGTTTTACATGAACTTTTATAAACAGTATGGTTGTGCAGTGTGCACCATGTTGAGAAGCAGCGTAATCCTCCCGGACATGAATCGTGCAATGTTCAACTGTGGCTTTTCTTTTCAAGATTATTTCGGTAAAAGCATGCCTAAATTTCCTCAGATCTCGTCTCCCGAAATCAACCATTAGGTCTTTCGATGACCTAGTCAGATTGAGATGTAAAATTGCCACGATTCGAGTTCGTATTAATTTTCTGGAGCAAAATGTGTCCGTTGCCAGAGATACCCGATTACGTTTTGCAAACGCTTACGGAGGAATAAGATCTGTGCCTCTCCCAGGAATTTGAGACGTTTCATTCGATGTCAGATTGATGATTATAAAGAAAATCTAACGACACTTCAGACCACGTGCATCGAATGATCAATAATTCTTGACGAACTGAGCCTCGTCAGCCGAATCGAATTTACCAACTTGTGCATGGAAAACATACGAAAAACAAAACTTTGTACATTCAACAAGCTTCACAATTCCATCGTTCACAAGTTAGCCAAACCAAATTTTCCGAAACAACGAGAAACGTTTGTGAACAATTTGTCATCGGTTGCACGAATGAACTTCAACTACAGGCTCTTTCGTGTGGTCTACGTTTGTGCATACCACCGAGTAAAATAAACAGCATAAAGACACAGGCGCAATTCGAATATCTATTCGAACAACTACAAATAGTCAAACCAAGTTGAAAAGATGCGGAGACTTGGTTCAAAGCAAAGCTGATTGACTTGGAACGACAGTACCGGATGACATCGTCCAAACATAAGTCACTCTTCACGCCTGAACACATTCACATCCGCCATTGAAGAGCTACAGTTGCGACCTGATTTGTTAGTTTTACGCCCTAACAAGGGGTCCGGAGCAGTGCTGATCGATCGGAATGATTATGAGAAGAAGATTGAAAGTGTTCTTCATGATCCCAGCAAGTTTGTACTCGAAGATGACTGTGAAGACCCTAAAGAACTAGAACAACAGATATCGACAGAAGTACAGTTTCTACTAGAAGGACACTGCCTCGATGAAAACACAGCTCACCGTCTGAAGCCAAAAGGAACTGGAAGTGCACAACTGTATGGTTTACCGAAACTACACAAACCCGGAGTGCCACTTGGACCAATACTAATACTACTACTACTGTTATATTCCAGAAGGCATACCTTGGTCAATAGGTTGTTTGGTGACATCAACGTGTTCGTACATTGACAAAACAACACAGACGCTGCAAACATCCTCATTTGCCTAGTGGCTGTCCTGTTCACTTGAAAACAGTTATCGTCAAACGGAGGAGCGGTCATGTGGTTTGCAGATCGTCGCATACCTCATTGCGCCTGGATTGCTGAACTTAGCTGTGTTCGTTAATCCAAAATTGTCCATAGTTCTGTCTTCAGCAATCAACTACTTAATAAGTAGTATATACTCTCACAACATTCTCCCACCTGACAAAAAAGGACGATCCAAATCCGGCAGACTGTCTTCAAGTCTTTCTCTATTCCGAGGTTCATACCTCCAACCCCGGTTCGTGGTGGTGTTGTCATCCGTCCCACAGTTCCTCCAGTGGTATGCTTTTTCCGGTCCGTGATACACACCGACACCAGCCTTGTTTCTAGATGGCATCAGTGAAGAGTGAATACTGAATACAACACTTGACTTTTATCGCACAACACCACGACATCGTGCCTGACCACCTCAAAGTTACTGAGCACCATGCGTTGTGTCATTCCACTATCATCCTGGATATGACTTCCAGCAGTCTCCTTCCGGAATGCATAAGGTTGGACTTCATCGCCCGGCACTTGCTCAGGTAGGGGGTAAACGTCTTATGTTTCCACTTTGCAAGGCGCCTTAGGTTCACATTGCGCACGACATGACCCGTCGTCTCTCAATGCAATGACAACTGCAGCAAATGACATGTCTTCGCTTCCACCATCATCCGGTTAACTTTACGAGCAATCCCGGTTACAGTTTTCCACATTTTCATGTATATGGTTCTGTTTCCCGACATTTTGCACTTCATCAGTAGTGATTGAAGTCTCCGGTATACTTCCTTCAATGTCCTTCGGGCAAAACTCATTTTGCTCTTGAATTTCGACTTCAGTTTGAGTTTCCTCAAAGCTTGCAGCTTCAGTGACTGCGAAATTAGACGACAGGTCTTCGGTTTCCTCGTCACAATGTTCATGTTCAAGGCAACCTGGGTAGCGATTTTCCGCATTCTCACGGATTTGGTTCGATTTTTCACAGTTCGCCAGCTCATCGGTAATGGTTGAATTCTCGAGCAGTGATACTTCTGGTACAACGTTTTCGATGTTCTGCTGATATTCAGGATATTCGTCCAGAACAGGTTACACATTTCCACAGCAGAAACACCCGGCTTCTTCCAACTGTCTGGCTTCCACTGTTCTGTCCTCCGTGTTCAACATTTCTGGATCGTACGCCTTCTGCACACGATCCCTGTTCCTCCATGAATTTCCGACATGGGCCGTATTGACCACAGACAAGCCAAGCATGGCCAGTTCCCGAGCCACATCCGCGAGCTGGACCAAATTCAATGAACGGCCGGCACGGGCGACGCGTACCATCCCACGCAGGGGCTCCGGCAGACTATCCACAAATCGGTCCGCCAACAGGTCTGCCCGTGATTATCTTTTACTGAATTGGGATTCAAATAGTTCACTGGGCCCGCATATTTTGCAAATTCTGTAACCACGAGTGTTTGACATCTCTCTTTTTTGTCCGTTTCGATTTCAGATTTGCCTATTTATGCTGACTTGCCTCAATCTTATATCTCGTTCGGCACTGGGAAGCACTTGTCCGAAATAGAAACAATGCCATGGAATCTATAGAAAGTGTCTCATTCGTTGATCATGACGTCCTGTGTTCGCTTCCCAACATCAACGGTCACTTTCCTCGTTTGGTAGCCTTGGATTGGCCGTGGACTTCTTCCAAAAGTACTGTTCCTTATAGTTTGACAGATGAAGACATTTAAGGATTATTTGTCGAAATGAGCCCAGGAATGATGAGCCTAAATCGTATAGATAATGAAGAATCCACCTGTATATTCTCTACCCATAGCGGATTTCACATCATTTATAAGATTCAAGACCCTCACGTCTGAACTGATCAAATTTGAAGGTGTTTCAGGTTTTACGTTCTTTCATCTGAATGTGTCTTATTCCCATAAGCAGTTAAAATAAAATGTTTTGACTTGATTCTGCATCTTGTTTTGTCAGGGGATAAACGAGGTCTGTTATTCTAGGATTCAGCCAGCACCCACAGCACTTAGGACGAGGAGAACTGTTTCTCAGATATTAGTATGGATTTACCAATGATTCCCACGAGAAATATTTCATATCTCTAATCGCTTCATACCGCAGTAAATAAACTGTTTAAGAACCATTTGGTCCCATTTTTTAAGCTAAAATAATTATATGATTGGATCTTATTTTCAGTAGAACACTCTAAGTACGCAAAGCTTTCTGTTGTAAGACTTGAGAGAAAGTAATGGTATTTTCAATATTCGGAAGAACTTGTTGACTTTTGGAGGTCATCTATCCCTACAGAAAATTCTGCACCCATACAAAATTTTAAACCACGCACAATTTTCGTTGGGTGATAACTAAACACGATTAAATTACGGGTCATTTTTCTTCTCTTTGAAGAGTATAGAACGAACACTTTCACGGATTTGCCATTTTTCACTTGGCGAACATGAGACAGTGTGAAGGGAAAATGGAAAATAAGGAGTAATAAGTTCCATGTCAATTTTCACTACAACGTTTCACGGACGTATTACCCTTTGGCAAATATCTATTCGACTTATCTCTTTCCTCAACCAATTATTTCAGTTTCTTATCCTTATTCAGTGCCTACACATATTTATTGCCACTAGTTAGCCTGTGCTCGTCAAAGTAAATTATCTTCACTTCCGTAGTTCAATGAGGAGAAAATGCAACAATTTGTTTCTTCGGCATTGAAAATGAATTATCCATCATAATCAAATCGGAGCTTTAAGGGGGCAGTTGTGACCACAGAACCATCAAGGTGTCAATGGTTTTTCTATTCTAAAAGCATAGACCAATTACGTTGATATACCAATCGCTATAAGATGAACACTCTCATGGGAAGCATAACCTGAAGCAGTATTCGGCAATAAAGTGGTCTTCCAAGAAGAAATTCGAATCTGACAGACTGGAAACATTGATATTGTGAACCCAATGAATTCTGCATTGTTTACTCTGATCCCCAGCAAGCTCAGTGATGACTCAATGCAGACCATAACAACCGGTGTAAAGAGATTTATGACTTTGAAGCCATTGTGACGATTTTCCCTAAGAATTTCTCACTAAATGTCACGAGTTTGGAAGCCCCTAAATAGCGGTGTACATCACAGAACGTAAATCGATAGCCAAACCAATTAGATACGAGTTTGTGTAATTTATCCGCCATTACAACAGGTGTTTACCTTTGTTCGGCTTATGGGGCTTGCTTCAGAGCGGCGGAAAAACAAAGCAGCCTACTTCAACTCGTCCCTTATTACAATGAAGTACGGTAGTTTACTGGGAAACCTTCTCGCTGGATATAGTTATTGCAATTTTGAAGTTATATTCTTTATCAAAATGTGGTAGCATTTTGCAGACCCCGTCTTACTGCAACATAGTATTTTACAAGATGGATGCGAAGAAAGGCTTATTCACTTGAATGAAGGTTCTGAGCCATATCTAAGATCAAATCGTGTGCAAAATGCGTTTTCATAATTTTATATTTCTTTCTGTTCATTGAAGCGGTGATTTGTTTTGGCTATGAGCGTGCACTTATTCTCCATCACGACAAAATGGAAGTTTATTTGCATGATATCAGAAAGGAAGAACTCTTGGTGTTTTGAACGGAACTTATATTAAGTAAAAAATAGAATTACTGCCAAAAGGCAGGGTAGTGTCGTCACAGAATGCCAACATTATATGAGGAGTGTCCTGGTTCTTGCACTCAGTATCTTGCAATTACGAATTCTTTACGACACTAGTTGTATGACCTGAAATAACACTAATAGAAACATTTTTTTGAGACAAGTCCATAATCAGTTACTTCACGGCGATCATCTTCGGTATCACCTTACAATGCTCCCCGTTCAATGAAAGTATCTTCCCCTACGCATATGCCATTCCTCATTTACTCGCAGCCTCCATCTCGACCGCTGCATCTGGTATACTCGAGTCGGGACTGTCGTGTTCTGTTGACTGATCCGAGTCCTCCTTGTATCTCCCCAATTTATTAAACTGCAGAATGAACGAATTTAGCGTGCTTCGGAGGTCTCTGATGACACGGTTAGAGCCCAATAACACTAGTTCTACTGTGAAAAGCCATTTACCACTCTTTGTTGAATTTTGAAGGTATCACTGAGTTTGGTTGCGTTTTATGGGGTTATATATTATAAACAGTCTTCAGGAGAGGGCTGGAGGATTTCCTGTTGAAAAACTCTCTTTAATATCTATAAGCTATCTCCACATGACTACCAGATGATTGGCTGGCTTGCTTCAGCATGTCCAACAACTTGCAGACATACCCCACGACAACCATTCACTGATTGTTGACACAACTTGGTCGTCTGTCTTTGGGGCGTCGTATTTCCATTCCTGTCCATCAAAGTGTGGCTTTTGTTTAGTAGAACTATGGATGGCACCACGGTAAGCAATGGGACAATGTGTCAATAGGCGGTTTCATTTACTAGAATTTTGATCGTTGAAAGCCTTCAGCTGCGACTTTACTGTTTGATGTCGCCATGTATTTATTTTGTCGAAATCACATTTTAGTGAGTGGTTGGCACGAGAGTTTAACGAGCAGACAGCAAAGCATTCGAGCCACTGACTTCCATCCTGACCCATGTCCCACAAAATGTCTAACCAACGATAATCGTTGTTCCTTTAACCCCAACCAGAGAGGCGAGAAGCACTAACAGAAGCCAGTACTGACGCCAGCTTCTTCATAACTATAAGTCTCCCATTAGATAACGCCCTAATCGTCTCAGGAAAAATCCTAGTACTAATATTTTCTTTCTCGTTGTGTAGTAATTAAGTTTTAATTTACTCAGGCATTGACTTCCATAGGCTAATATGTGGTCCCTTCCACCTTCTCTGATTTGTGTCCATACCGTCCCAATCGTCGAACCACTGGCTTTCATATCTAATATGAACTGACCAGCAGAAGGTGACATGTTTGGTGGTGTTAGTACAGGCGCGGAGTAAAACATCTACTGAATTTCGGCGTAGGTCTCGTCACATGCCGCATTCTACGGAAGTGGTTTATTTTCCTCTTACAGCGCTTCGAAAGGAGAGGCAAAACGAGCAAATTGTACAGGGAAATGGCGGTAGTACGACCTCATTCCCAGAAAACTTTTCTCGTCTACAGTTTTGTGAAGTGCACCATTTCGCTTCCTTTTCGATCTTCTCAGGCTCAGTATGAATTCCAGCAAAAGAGATTATTTTTCCCGAATAGCTCATCTAGGGTTGTGAGAAACGGCATTTTGTGGACTTCAGCCCAAAGCCGATTTCTTTTACTCTCTCTGAGACTGCCGCCAAGTTCTCCAGGTGTTTCTGTTTTGATTTCCCGTGCACGGTGATGTTGCATAGGTTCACTAGGATTCTTTGTGGGGATACGCCCTTCACTGTTGGTTGCGTCAGTCGTTGGGCGGTGGCGTGCCTGAATTGCGAAACACTTTTGGGATTGTCAGTCCCTTAGTTCAAGTATTCCTGCTCATTCTACGAACGTTTCCAAATCTTCCAGTAATTACGTAAGTAATTTATTTTAACTCTAGGGGAGGAAAAACTGTTCAGGGATTCGTCCACAAAACCTCGTCCAGCTAGGTAACAAGTGTTCCACGCATAAGTAAAGATGGCCTCATCCGCATGTTGGATCTGGGCGTGGAAGTCCCTCAAGTATTCAGCTATCAGTTTCGGTGTATCCGTTAGCTGTCTCCGAATTTGGAATATCTCCGGAGGAACCCTATCCCCCAGTTTTCTTGAGCTAACCACCCTGTCGAATACCTCTGCCGTGAGTATGCCGTGGATCATTTTGGAATAACACGTTTGGAAAACCCTTGAGAAAAATTCTTATTTGTTTCCCCAACGATCCCAATTATTGCCTATAGCGAATCTTTCGGGAACGGCAGCCGGGGATGAAAAGCCTGGTGATTGAACTGTTGGTTGTCAATCGGTTGAGAACTCCGAATGATGTGGACATCAACTAGCTGTACTTATTCCCCTCTTCCATACTTGGCATCCCATTCTTTTCGCAATAGTTTGTTTTTGTCTCAGGCATAATAGTAGGATCGTCTTTAGCTGGTTGACACAGCTGGCTGACAAAGCTGGCTGATAGAGTCGACAGAAAGGAACAATCCTTGTTCTTTGCAATGGAAATTGTCCTAGGGAACAAGTTGCAACACTGTCAAGGAACGGGGTGTTGGCAGAACAAATTGGCAGCTTAACGTGACGGACCAGGTGTCTCGATTCTCGCAATCAGTATCTTGTAATTCCGGGCTCTTTATCACACTAGCTATGTGGCTTGAAATAACTCTAAAGGAGATGAT